GAAGACCAGAAGGGCGGATCAGCAGGAATTTCTGTTATTGAAGGCAACAGTGCTTTGACCTACCAAGCTAACAACAGTAGAAAGAAACTGAGCACAGAAAGGGATGCAAAGGGATGGAGGCATCAGGACTGATGGAATCCCACCCCAAGAGCAGCAAGTTCCTGCTCATGTCTCTTTATTCCCATCTTGGTTGGGTTGCTTTTCTTCTAAAACCCAGAACCACAGCAAGGAATGTGACTGCCTCATCCTGGGCTCTCACCACTCAGTTCTTTTTGATGTACAAATGTTGATTCTGTCATGGAGATTCTGGTTTCAAAGACGCTTTCCAAAGCAGCAAAACTCTGCAGGAGGAAAAAAGAGGGTCATTGCTTTGATCAGGTCGTAAAAAATAGTCGAGGAAGACAAATGGGGATGGAATTGCTCCGAAATAATCTGTGTCACTTGAGTTTTCCAATAGCACCCATAACTTTGTGACAAACACGGGATCTTCAGCATAGGCTTCCCTCTCTTTTGCATTTGTCTTGGGTGCCTTCTGATCATTTTCCCTGGGATGCCATGCAGACAACACTGTCAGGTTTTGTGTTTTGGAGGAGGTGACCATGTGTTGGCCTGTGCCACAAGTGTGTGAGCTGCCAAGAGGTGAGTTGGAAAGCTGTCAGACATGCACCAACTCCTTTTCAACCCTCCTTTGTGTGTTTCAGACCTGGCAAACTGTGAGGAAGGCTGGATCAAGTTCCAGGGCCATTGCTACAGGCACTTTGAAGAGAGGGAGACGTGGATGGACGCAGAGTCCAGGTGCCGAGAACATCAAGCCCACCTGAGCAGCATCATTACTCCAGAGGAACAAGAATTTGTGAACAGTGAGTGTTGGGGCTGCCTGGGGGACACGAGAACAGAGAGGGGTCCATCCACTGAACTCCATGTTTATGGTGGAGAGGTTTGTGCAAAATGATGTGAAAAGCAAGTGCTAGATGACCCCGGGGCCCCAGGTCCAGAAGAGGTGAGCTGGAAAAGGGGTGCCTGCACACAGCGTGGTGAGCCAGCACCTAACCTTCTATCCCTGTTCTGCTTTCCCAGGCCATGCACAGGACTATCAGTGGATCGGCCTCAGTGACAGGGCTGTGGAGAACGATTTCCGCTGGTCTGATGGGCACTCGCTGGTGAGCAACTGGGACAGACCTAGTCCTCAGCCTGGGGCAGGGGAATTGGTGTTCTTGGTGGGAGGAATGGTGCTGGGGGCAGAGCCCTCGAGTGACACGCTGAGTGCTTGGATAAGGTGTGAAGGCAGCCCTCAGCTGAATGGTTTTTCCTGGTTTTAACCAGCTCTGGTGAAACCACGCCTGACCAGAGGCTGAGCTCCGTGGCACCATGGCCATAGGCGTGTGGCTGCAGTAGCAGTGCAGGTAGCTGTGGTCTCTAGCAGGTGGAGGCAGGAGGAGGCACAAAGGAGGGAAGGAGAGAGGGGACTCAGGCTCGAGTGTTTTCCTCTCCCCCCAGCAATTTGAGAACTGGCGGCCCAACCAACCTGACAACTTCTTCTCCGCGGGCGAGGACTGCGTGGTGATGATCTGGCATGAGCAAGGCGAATGGAACGACGTCCCCTGCAACTATCACCTGCCTTTCACGTGCAAGAAGGGAACAGGTGAACTCCTGCTGTGCACCAGCAAGATGGGGGTGATTCAATCAATGGCTGTGGGGTTGGGGCACGAGGGGAATGAGCTCTCGTGCTGCCACTGAGCTCTTTGAGAGCAACAGCCCCATGTTCAGCCAGGAACGTTCATGCTGTAAGCCTGCCTCCCACTGAAGTTTGTATGAACTTAGATTTCTTTGAACTTCTTTAGCAATAGTGCCGTTTTTGTAGTATCTCCATCTATTCCCCTCCTAAGGAAACAATCTCCCCTTTCTCAGCTTATTCTCTAGCCCTGGGTCTGGCTGATGGATGTTATAAAAGCTTGAGGGATAGCACCTGCCCACCTGGGTCCCAGAAACTATCTGGATCAGAAATGCCATTCCAGCAGGGGAATAACGAGGGAGGGCATCACTCCCACCACATCTTAGAGATGGGCAAGGTGGTTGCATCTTTCCACCCCATCAGTGCCTCACTCTAAGATCAGAAGGAGCGGCCATCACCCACTTACAGACACCACAGAATCACCATGTTTGGAAAAGACCACTAATATCACCTAATCCAGCCATCAACCATCCCCACTGTGCCCTCAGTGCCACATCCCCACAGCTCTTGAGCACCTCCAGGGCGGTGACCCCAGCACCTCGCTGGGCAGCTGTGCCACCGCATCACCTCTTTCTGAGAAGCTTCTCCTCATATCCAACCTGAACCTCCCCCGGTGCAACTTGAGGCCGTTCCCTCTTGTCCCCAGGGGACAGCACAGGAGAAGCAGCGATGGGGCTGACGGGCTGAGAGCCGCCTGCCAGGGGTTCTCCGTCTCTTACTGTCTTTCCCCATTTCCTGCAGTTGCCTGTGGGGACCCACCTGTAGTGGAGAACGCCCGGACCTTCGGCCGGAAGAAGGACCGCTATGAGATCAACTCCCTGGTGCGGTACCAGTGCGACCACGGCTACATCCAGCGCCACGTGCCCACCATCCGCTGCCAGCCCAACGGGCGCTGGGAGGAGCCGCGGATATCCTGCACAAACCGTACGTCTCAGCCATCCCAGTCATCTGCACCCGGGGGGGTGGTGCACAGAGATGCCCTTGGATAATTCCCCCCCCCCACCCCCTCTCTCCCCCTGGGAATGTGGATATTCGAGGTGCTGCATGCACGCAGCTGGGAGGAATGGGAATCGAATTAATCATAGAATCACAGAATGGCTTGAGTTGGAAGGGACCTTATGGATCACCCAGCTCCAACCTCCTGCTGTGGGCTGGTTGCCCCCCATCAGGCTGCTCAGGGCCCGTCCAAAAAAAAACCTGGCCTTGAGCACCTCCAGGTGCATTGGGTGGCACTGGGTGTAGGGCAGTGCTGAGCCATGGGAAGATGCCGTGCTGGAAGCTTTCCCGAGGTAGAGCTGAGGGATGGAGCAAAAAGCTTAATAAGAGCCAAGGCTACTTAAAGAAAAGGAAAAAAAAGGAGCAGCTCCTGCAGCTGGTGAGTAGCAGAGGACGGGAGTGGGGAGCCCTGCCAAGGAGACAGGGCTGGCCCCAGGGATGGGGCCGGGTTTCTGGCCCTTCTCGAGGCGTCCCGGCCCATCCCCAGGCTGCCTACACCCCGCTCCCATCCCTGCTCGGAGCTTCCCAACAATGACATCGAGCTCAGCCAAATCACATCCCTCAAATGCCGGCCGGCTCCTGGCCAGCTCCGCTCCAGCCCAGTCCCAGAGCTGGGGAAAGCAGGCGGGAGGGACGGAGGAGAGCGCAGTGCTGCGCTCCTGGTGCTGCGTTTTCCCTGCTTTCCTTCCTCCCCTGTTTCTCCTCATCCCAGTAACGATGCCATTTCTCCCCGCAGCCTCCAGCTACCAGCGCCGGCTATACAAGAGGAGCCCCCGGAGCCGGTCGAGACCCGGTGTCATGCACAGACCCACCCATTAAAGCGGGGCGAGGGGTGAGCAGAGAGAGAAAAGAGAGATTTTTACGGAACACTTATATTAACAGAGGCGATTTCTTCTTCTTGTTGTTGCTTTTTTGTCATATAAGGAAAAAAAAAAATTATATTACAGACAAACCCACCTTTGTGTATATATATATAAAAAAAGAAAAAAAAAAAAATTAATGTTTTCCAAGCACCAAAGCAAAGCAAATTAGAAGTCAGCATTCTTACTAACGGTCCGGTTCCAATTATCGTCGTGCCTTCGGGGATGGGGAGGGGGGTGGGATCGCAGAGGGCAGGGGGTTAAGTTAAATAATAAAGATGATTATTTTTTTCCTGATTTTATCCACGAACAATGTAATTATTTCTGTTATTTAATCTCCGGGGTGAACGGCACCTTTTGGGGTTAATTTTATTTTATGTTTTTTTTCCAGAATCCTACTGCTGCGGCGCGTCGGGGCGGGTGGGCAGAGGGGCAGTGAATGTACCGGGAGGGCCGGGGGCCACGGTGGGGGGAAGCGGGGGGAGGCTGAGAGCCCCCCACCACCGCCCCACGGCGCTGCGCCCATCCCGGGACGACGTGCTCTTTCCAGGGGACCGTGCGGGGCACCAGCGTTCCCTGCACCTATTTATATTTTTTGAACATATCCTATTTTGAAAGAGTGATAAATAATAAAGAGAGCGAAATCGGAAAGGGTCGCTGTGGTTCCTTTTTTTTAATGTGGGGGGCAGAGGGAGGTGGCTGAGTGGGGTAGGGTAGCAGGGAAGGAAGGGAACCCAAAGGGGGGTTGTGTGGACAGAAGGGCGGGGGGACCCCTGGCACTGAATGCAGATGGGAACGGCGTGGAGCAGGAGGTGCTCAGGAGGGGGTAGACCCAGGAACACACTCCAACTAAAACCCAACAGCAGGAAAACCCACCACCAGCAGACGCTTCACCCTCTGCCTTCCAGATCAGGGTTTAATTCGCACTCATTATGAGGTGGCTCAGCCAAGGATGAGGCGTGCATGGCACATTCCTCTCTGCTCCATGCACGTCCCTGGGTGTCTTGGTGGGGGACTCCAACTTCTCTCCATTTCTCGCACTGAGACAGAAGTGGGGACACTGCCACATTGCTCCAGGGCTTTCTCCACTGATTTATTTAGAAGAGGTCCAGGAAAATACATCATCGTTTTCATAACAAAACACTTGAAAGAAGAAGGCACCAGAGTTCAAATGGGGTCCGGGTGTGGGGTGCATGGATATAAGGCACGAGCACCACCACGGGGACAGGCACAGCAGCATCCTTCAGTGGGATGGGACGAGACTGCAGCAGGGATGGGATGCAGCGGGGCTGGTCTGTAGGGGAGATGCCCTGGTCCCATGCAGTCAGGGACAGGGAACTAGGATGGAGGGAGAGGGGCCATCGTCCTTGCATGTAGCCCATATGGAGCCAGTCCCCTGCTCAAGAGTAGCCCATATGGAGCCAGTCCCCTGCTCTAGAGCAGGATGCTCCAGCCCAGCCTCCTGCTGCATTCAGAAAGTGTAAAACATAAAGGAAGAAGAATTCAAACCAAAGAAGTTTCCCCCTACCCAGTCACTCCCAAAACAGCCCTGGGTACACCCAAGGCCAGGCACCGTTGGGATGGGAACATCCTCAGGCCGGGTAGGAACCCTCCTTGTTCTTTATCTCTCCTTGTAGCAGAAGACTCCAAACCTGCCCTTGCTGGGGAAGCCAAAGCTGCGCACGCCGGGCTCCGCGGGGCCGCAGTTGGCACGGGGCTTGGCGATGGGGTAGCGGACACTGCCATCCGCCAGCCAGCCAGCATCGCAGCGGTCCAAGCCGTGGAACTTCCATGCAGAGTAGAGGTGTCCCACTTTGGCAATCTCTGCACCAGCGTCCAGGCACGCCTGCTTGGCTTCCTCCAGCGTCATTCTGGTTGGGTGTTCCAGGTAGAAAACCTCACCTGAGAAGGAGAGCGGCATCAGGAGGGAAGTGCATGGGGCTGAGCATCACCCGCAGCATCGCCGCGCGCCACATCCTTAGGGACAACAAGGACATGGGACGCCACCACGTGGCACAACCCCGTGGGGACCCACCTCGGAGTGTGGAGGAGAAGCAGAAGACATCAAAGCGGTGCAGGTGCCGGTGGCGGGGGCCGTAGCTGCGGATGCCCGGGGCGAGGTGCACCCCGCCGCAGGGTTTGCGGGGCAGGCGGATGGGGTAATGCACGGTGCCATCGGCCAGCCAGCCCGCGTTGCACCAGTCCAGCCCCTCGCTCCAGGCCTGGAAGAGCTGGTGGAAGGTGGCGATGAGGGCACCCTGCTCCTGGCACACTCTCTCGGCTTCGTGGAAGTTGAGGCTGTACTGCCCGCGGGGTGGTTGGTAGGGGAACACGATGCCTGGGGGCACACGGGGTGCTCAGAGGGCAGCACGCCCACCCACCCCAAAGTCAAACTCTATCACCCCAGGGTGCAGAGCCGCCAGCAGCACGGAGACGCTCTGGGCAAGCAGCCACCAGCAACAAGATGCCAGCGACATCTGGTGGCACAGGGACAGAGGGGCTCAGTGCTGGGGATACGTGCAATCACGCATGGGGACAGCACTGGTGCGCATGAGGATGGGGATGCTTAGGGTAACAGGGACATATGGATCACAGTCCTAGCACACACACGGTGTCTCAGGGGGTGGAATATCGCCATGGGAATACACGGTCTGCAGGTACAGGGACACAGAGGACAGGGGGGCACAGGTTGCACAGAGCTGGGTGCCCCGTCCATGCAGGTGCTCAAGGCCAGGTTGGAAGGGGCCCTGGGCAACCTGAGCTGGTGGGGATAACCAGCCCACGGCAGGGGGTTGGAGCTGGGTGATCTTAGATGTCCTTTCCAACCCAAGCCTTTCTGTGATGAATACCATCAAGGACGCCAACAGGGAGGTGGCCAAACCCTTGTCGTGGGGATGGCTGGCCCGTAGGAACACACAAGCCTACAGCTCCCCACTAAGCCCCAAAGCATCACTCTGAGTATCCCAACCTCTTTCCACCTATAGCCTCTCCCAACCCACCCGCCCTGCTGCCACCCAAGGGCCATGCTGGCCAGCCCCCACCTCGCAGCCGAAGCTCCACCACATCACTGGCATCCTCCAGCCCCTCGATGACTTCACAGCGGTATTTGCCATCATCCTGCAGGCGCACATCGCTGATGAGCAGCGAGGCTTCGCGCTGTCCGGTCCGGTGGAGGTGAGCGCGGCCTCGGAAGTCCCCAAAAGCCATGTAGGTTTTGCCAATGGCCACCAGCACGTCCTGCTCCTTGGTGTAGTCATCTCGCAGCTTGGACCACTTGATGCGGATCTTGTGCTTGGCCTCGGATTCGGGCTCGTGGTGGTAGTGGCAAGGCAGGGTGACATTAGCACCGCTGAAGCTATAGATGGGGTCTTTGGAGGTCTCCACCACCAGCCTGACCCCATTGAAATCAATCACTGGGGACAAGGAGGGAAGATGTGAGGGAATGGTCCTCACCTCTCCCTGCAGCTGTTCCACTCCCTCCCTCCAGCCACCTCCTCAGCTGCCTGAGCATCCCGTGAGCACTCCATGTGCTCCTCTAGGCTCCCAACATGTGGGTCCCATCCCCTTCCTCGAGGTGGAGGGAGCATCTCAGCCTCTTGCCATGACTCTCCAGTCCCCTCAGCCCGTGGTACCTTTCTCGTGCCCGTTATCATCGTCATTCATGACGTGGTTGTAATAGAAGCCGTTGTAGAAGGGGTGGTAGGAGTTGATCAGCCGCAGCAGGGCAGCCTTGAGGAGCAGTGAGAGCAGCAGCATGGCTGGGGAATGAGGCTGGACCCTGGGCCTTCACAGAATCATAGGATCGTTAAGGTTGGATAAGACAACTGAGTTCACCTAGTATGACCATCAGCCCATCCCCACCACGTCCCTCAGTGCCACATCCCCGCAGTTCTTAACATCTCCAGGGACGGTGACTCCACCACCTTCCTGGGCAGCTGTGCCACTGCATCACCACAGTTTCAGATAATACATTTTCCCTGGCATCTGTCCTGACACTCCCCCTGATACAGTGGCAACTTGAAGCCATTACCCCTCATCCTACCAATGCCTAGAAAAGTACCAGTGTTCCCTCCACAGCCGGTTAACCACCCAAATTTCTTCAACACAGCCCCACACCAGCCACTCTTCGTGCTGTAGGGCGACCCCAAAACGGCCAGCGTTCCCTGGCACACAAGGACACAAGCAGAGGGGTGTCCCCATGCAACACACCAACCACATTCCACAGGAGAATCCCGGTGCCCCACGTCCCCGCAGCCCTTCTCCTGCTGGCACCCAAGGGTGGCACTCAGGGCGGGCAGCGGGGCTTGCAGGCTTCCCCGGAGCCGGCAGAGGGGGCCCGGCACCCACGGAGCCTCCCTCAGCCCCTGCAAGGAGGGGTTTGACATCCGCACCCCGCGTTGAGATGAGGTTTAGGAGCGCTGCAAGAGAGTGCCGGAGTCCGCAGCGGGGACAGTGCAGGGGACAGAGGTGACCTCCGGCCATGCCACCAGAGCGGGGGAGCGCAGCTGGATGCTCCCAGCATGGGATGGGATGGTACCCCATCAGCCCGGTGCCACCTCTGTGCGCTACATGCACACACACAGCCACGTGCTGCGGGCACAGGGCGCTGGGACGGGCACGAAGCACCCGCGGCCGCACACGTTGGGCTGGGGACACCTGAACCTCACCCCGCTGCATCCCCAACCTCATGGCGTGGTGATGTGCCAGCGTGCCAGCATCCTCCACCGCTACGCTGGGCAGCGTGGTGCTCACCGTGCTCACAGCGCTCGCGGCGTGGAGCACGGCGACGTCCAGCAGCGATGCCCAGCACCCATGCGGTGATGCTGTCCCTGCCGTCCCTCCTCATCCCACACAGTGCCTCACCCTATGTGCCACCCGTCCCCGTCCCCAGCCCCATCCCCTGCCCCACTCACGGCGGGCAGCAGCAGCAGGCAGCGGGCAGGCTGCAGGCAGATGCAGTGTGTTTAGGACTCTCAGGGTTGAGAGGAAGCAGCTCCAGGGCCTGCCTCTTAAAGGGAAACACACGCTATTCCCAACCCCCTGCTCTCAGGATGGAGTAGGGGTGGGTGCCCCGAGCCCCCTGCCTGCCTGTCACACCCAACCAGAGCCGTGTGCCCTCACTGCATGCCTCTGCATGATGCGTTGCTCACCAGCATTGCCCAGTGCAAGGGAGAAGATGAGGGGAAAGGCGTGCTCCATTGGGGATGCTGAAATGTTGGGGTGAGCCCCGTGATGCCGTACTCACAGCCGCACACACTGCCACAGAGCACCTTGCATCCCACCACAGAACCAACTTTTGGCAATGGCAGTGCCATGCAAGCACTTTGCAGGAGTGCCACGAGCACAAGCAGCTCCAGGATGGTGGGTTTGGGAGGTCTGTACCAAAACCTTTAGACTATCCGGCTGCACCCCTCTGTCAGGGCATCACCCATGTAATTCCAGAGCCACTGCCAGGCTGGACGCTGCCAGGCCTCGGGGCCACGCGTGTGCCCTGACCCTGCTCTGCTTTGTTGTTTTACGGCGAGGAAATGAGGCACGGGGCCCTGCTCCCTGCTCCCTGCCCCCTGCACCCTGCCCCACCGCGCAGGATGGCGTCAAACCGGAAAGAAAACACCGCGTGTGAAAATAAAGCATCCGCCGACCCCATCCTGCAGGCACTGAGCCCGTCTGGCACCCGAGCGGGCTGATAGGGGCTGGGACACGGCGCTATCAGCCATGTCTCCTGCGGCTCTGTCCCCGTGGGAAGCGTGGCTGGGATCATTGGGACGCACAGGGTCTCACAGCTCTGCTCAGCCGTCCTCATCGAGGGACAGAGAGACAGAGTGTGGGTGCCGTGCACGCAGCTGAGCTTCGGATGCCGGGGGGCACAGTTAGTGGGCACTGTTGGCGGTAGGCAGATAACAGGACTGGATGATCTTAGAAGTCTTTTCCAGCCTTAATGCTTCTATGATTCTCTGACACAGAATCACGTGGCACCGCCACAGGGTCCCCATGGAGGGGCCTCCCCGGTGCGTGACGGCCGGCACGACGCCGCGCTGTCCCGTGGCCCACAATGGGGCGATTACCTCTCCCGGCACCGTGTCCCCGTGCTGCAGCCACACCACGGTCCCCTCCCGCCGGGGCACGCTGCTCCTTGGCGCTGCCACCCCATTGTTTGCCAGAGGAAGAAAAAGCTGCAGTGTGCCCAAAGCACCCCGCAAAGAGCCCTCCCTGGGAGAAGGGTGCTTTGTGACCCCCATCCTCGCTGCTTGCAGGATGATCCCGGAGCTGGGCTTGGAGCTGAGCTCCCCAGGGATGCAGGCGGGTGGGGCAGCGCTGTGGGGTCAGCGCAGATCCAACCCAGCAGTGTGTGAGATGGGCAGGTGTTTGGGGATGGATCAAACAGAGCCATAAAGGTGTCAGCTCAGCTGCTCAACCTCAGAGCCAGTGAATGGCAGCTTCGACCTGGTCCTGGAGGGGGATTTCTTGGCAAAACGCTGCTTGCACAGGACAGGGCTCAGTCTCTGCCAGCAGCTCCAGCGGGAACCCACGCTTGAGGCTGGAAGTGGGGAGGGAAACCCAGATCTGCTGCAGGATGGAAGGGGCTGTGAGAAGTGCTGGGTTTCCTGGTGCTGGTGAGAGGATGCTGTCCTGCGGCTGCTTCCTGCAGGCAGGCAGTGGGGTGCCGCAGCGTGCCAGCCTTCCTGCCTCCAGGAGCAGCATCCGAGGGGCAGGGGTGGGGGTCTGCATGGGGTGAGGGAGCCCTCATTGCCCTGAAGGGCAGCACTGGTGCTGGGCAGGAGGAAGGAAATGTTGTGGGGCAGGGAAGGGCTCAGCCTCCCAGTGGGGCAGTGGTGACAGCTGCAGTGATATGTGGCTTTGGCTCCTTTTGCTCTCCCTGCAGAGCCCTCTCTACCTCAGAGCTGTCTCGCCGGACTCAGAGCAGGCTGCCCTTATCTCTGCTGCTGCTTCCCGGCGATAAGAGGGCACGTCTGGGTGGGAGTGTTGTCCCCCCTGCTCTGGCTCTGGGTGCTATTTGTCTCCAACCAGCCATGGCTGTGGTGAATGCAGGAGGTAATGGAGGGATGCAGGAGGCTCTGGGCCATTCCTATCAGCTTCAGGGACCCTACTCAGCGGTAGAGCTCCTCCACCACACCCCAGTGCCCCCTTCTCTCCCAAGCATGGGATCCCAACCAGCAGCCCCCATCCAGCACCATGCCCAGGAGGTTTGGCCACAGCTTCCTCAAAGCTGCAGCTCTGAGAGCGGTTTTGCTCCAAGCTGGGGATCTGCTCCAGGATCAAAGCCAAAGGAGGATGCGCAGGGCGTGGGGTGCTGATAGTAGTTTCCCATCCCCACGTCCCATCGCGTCGCGTTCGGCCAGCTGCAGGCACAGGTTCCAGCAGCTGGGATGGGGTGGAGGCCAGGGGGAGGATGTATACAAGCCTTGGTACTGTTTTTTGGAGAAAGGAAGGGAGCCAGGAGTGTGTGAGGGCAGGAGGGATGCCTCTGAGAGACGGCAAGCACAGAGCAGTGAGCCAACAACCCAAAGTTTCAGTTTTAATACTGTCAACAACACCCTGGAGCAAGGCCGTGCCACCTGGGTCCCCTCGGTCCTTCCCAAAGCCAGCCCAGCGCTGTGGCCACATCCCATACCAGTCCACGGGGACAATGGTGCCACCAACACTTTCCTAGCAGCCATCCCACTCGCTGGTGCTGGCTCCATGCTTTCCCACTGCCCATCCCAACAGCTCCAGCATCGCCACCCCAAAAAGGGAAAAATCAGGATACAAAAAGGATCAGGGCTCTGTTTTGGGGCTGCTCCATCACCTCCTCCAGCTGCTCCACAACAATAGTGTTGGTACCCTGGGAATGTGATCAAAAGGGAAAAAGAACATTTTTGACACCCCCCTGCCTTGGGCTGCAGGATGCCCAGGGTGGATGTCCCTCACCACTCGACCCCACAGACCCATGGGTTTGCTTTCTTGGGGGCTGGGGAGGGCTCTCAGCTGCCACAAAATCAGTGCAGCAGGAAGAACTACTGATAGGAGCAGCCTCTCCCCCTCTCAGCACGCCCCTCACACTATGCAGCGCTGATACAGCCCGCAGAGAGCCCCGGGGCCTGGCAGAAGGGATAGAGCTGAGGTTTGTAGCTCCTTCACATGGCCATGCAGGGAGGAGGAGGGATGGTAGAGGTTAGGTTTGGTCTCCCACAACGGCTGAGCCCCAAACTACGGTGCAGCACACGCAGGGTGCTGCTGCTGACTGCTGGAAGCAGAGGGAAAAGGGAGAAAAGTCATCTCCAGGCTTAGGGGAGGCTGCAACCAAGACCTGCGTGCAGGATGGGGTCCCACAGCCAAGATCCATTTGCAGAGAAGGTCTCACTCACAGCTTGTAGGGCAGAAGGGCAGGAGCCATCCCCGCATCCTACCCAGAGCAGCCCCATAAAGTGCAGTGCTGCAGCCCCAGCGCAGGGCAGGGGACCCCCTGAGGCAAGGCAGCGCCCGGAGCCTCCCTCCAAAATTAGGGGAGGAGGAGAGGGAGGTGTGAGCGGGAGGTGTGCGGGGTGGGCAGAGTGTGGGCCGGGTGACGGGGATGGGGCTGTCCCTCCTTCACGCCCCTACTCGTCACAGCCCAGCAGCTCGACACGCAGCGTGATGCGGTTGTGCCAGGCCACGGGCAGGATGCGCACAAAGCGGGCGTGGAAGGGCACATCAAAGACATTCTTCTTGTGCGAGTAGTTGTCACTGTTGCCGTGGAAGATCTGGGAGGAGAGAGAAGCAGTCAGCATCACAGGGACCCCGACGCCGTTTACGCACGGCCCTCGAGCCGGGAGGTGTCCCCAGGCCCCCGCGGCTCGCCGCCCCCATACCTTGGTGCTGTTGGTCTGGCTGTCCCTGTACACAGTCCAGGAGGTGCCATTGTCACTGTAGGCCACTTTGTAGGCTGCCACGTACTGGATGTGGCCAAAGTCACGAGCTCCCTGCGTAACGATGCCCGTCACCTTCTTCTGGTCCCGAAGGTCGATCTGGAATAGAGATGGGGCAGAGTCCCTGCGTACTGCTCAACCAACCCCTGCCCCTGCAGGACTAACGAAATGCTGTGGGAAATATTTGACCCCTGAGCACCCTCAGGGCAGGGAACTGTTCCCCACACATCCCTGCGGCTGCTTTGGCACCTCGTGCTGGAGAGGTCAACGCGGGAATGATGGCAAAAATCCCAATTTAAAAAAAAATAATTAAAAAGGACTCCCAGAGGAAATGCATTTCCAATGGAAAGTGATTCTGGATGAGAAAACATGCAGCTGAATGCAGGCTGACATTTGGGCAGCAAGGGAGATCGTTTCTGTGCTGTTTGCTTTGCTTCCTGCCCTGCCACACTGCGTTACTTCTGCTGGCACAGCGCGGGGTAATGCAGCTAAAGAGCCAAAGGTCTCCTTAATTTTGTTCCTTCTTTATGTTCACCGAGGGCCATGCTAACCACACATACATGTACATATTTATATACGTATGGTTGTACGTGTGAATCTACCTACATGTCCACAAGCACACAGCCTTCAGTGTCAGAGCCCAGCGCAGTGTCACCGCAACCCCGCTGGGAGATGTCCCGATAAGCTGGTTCACTCTGAGCTGAGGAGCAGCTGCTTTTAATCATTCCCCAAATAAAATTAAAAGCGGGACAAATATCTAAACAGCTTTGTCCCATTATGTCATGAAATCATGTGAAAAGTATAAAAACAGCGGAGCAAAGGAAACTGAGAAGGAAATTTCAGAACTATTTGTTCCCATTCCAGCCCGGGAATAGAAGCACAGATCCGATCCTTGCTGCAAAACAGAGGGGAGGAGTTGGGCTGGGGTGCACAGAGGTGTGCCATGAGCCCTCCCAGCCCTTACCCACCTGCAGCCACTCGGACTGGTCATTGTGCAGTGCTGTCCAGGCATTCGTTTTGCCCATCTTGTCCAGGCGGGCATAATGGGGATACCAGGTAAAGGCATCGATGCCCCACGTCTTGAAGAC